GCAAGAAGTAGAGAAAAGTAAAAAAAAATTGGAGGCATTAATCGCAGCTAAGCAGGTGTCTTTGACCGGCGCCATAATCCTATAATAATTATTGACTTTTTCAGGCAGCAATTATTGACGGTTCAGTTCCATTTATGAATATGATAAATAATAATTGCAAGGTCAGCGGAAGTCAAGTATTGATCACTCCATAATATGGATAACCATTATCCTTGAATGCCGACAAGAAATGAAGAGAATGTATGATTGGAAAGCGAATAATTGAAATGGCAAGTCAGGGGTTTTACAATAAAAATAACGAGTGAGGAACTCCATCTGAAAGTGGTAGTTGGGTGTAGGATAAGGATAGACCTGGAACATGGGCTAGTTGCTTGGTGAGCTATCTACATGAAAAAGGTGGAATACTAGAGTATGCTGGGGAGGGTGATGTGTCTCTTCAAAACCTCTTCTGATGACCCCATCACCGTTCTAAAATGCCCAAGCTGTCATGAAAAAATAACTTTCCCATCAACATAAGGCATTCCACCCCCCAGCAATCACAATCCCAGTTTCGCCAAAGTGTGTAACATCACACATCACTTGGCAGGAACATGCTGTTTCTGCTATTTCACATTACAACAAAAAAAAACACACACACACACACTTCTGTGAACACGTGGCTATCAACATCTGCTAGACCCACCCCTGATATCAAACCCCTCTTCACCTCCACCCGTGTCTCCCACAAGACATTTTTTCCATTTGCACCTCTTCTTCCTCCCCTCCCCACTGGGGTGTACAAATCAGCTTGACAAGGAACACTACTTCTGGTCGCCCTCAGCCGTCACTCTCTTTCACTTCCTCTTTCACTTCCTCTTCCTCTTCCTCCTCCTCCTCCTCCTCCTCTTCCTCCTCTCTCACGGGAACATGATGCTATTATACATAAACAAGAAGCCGCTAATACAGCATGAGTTTTTTGTCTACTTCAGACGGAGCATTAGGTATGGGAGGGGGAGGGGTTTGTAACTAGATTGGACTCAGCCAGACTGTTCTTTTTGTTCGCCGGACACCCTGTGAACAAGTTTATTTGAATATCAAAAGCAAAATGCAATGTGTGAAATAGATTTGGAACCGAGTTGATTATGAATACATCTTAGGAGTGGAGGGAGGTGAGAGGTGGGAGACAGTTGAGAATGGGAGTATATGTTTGTGCCTGCAGGGAAAGGGGGGGGGGGTCTGAAGTGTGTTTTTTTGTTTACATGCATATCCGGGGCAAGAGTGTGGTGATAGGCAGGCTTTGTGTACGGCTGTCACATGGGGGGAGGGGGTTGTCGCTTCAAATGTGCCCCGGGGCAAGGCAATATCGCACGAGACACAATGAACGGCCGTGACACAAAGAGAAATAAAATCAAAAAAAGGCTGTAAATGCATTACTGACTCGGTGTGGCGCAACACCGCAGTAGTTATTGAGATATATTCACACTTCACCTCCCGGATGACCACTGGGGCACCCCGAGTCATCTTCTGCCTACACACGACAGAGGCAATAAAAAAGCAGAGGGCGAGGATGTAAAAAGTCTAGTGGTTGGGAGACATGCAGAGGAATATGGGGGCATGGTAACACATCTATAGCTGGAAAATTGTTATCTTCATAATTTATTCATAGAGAACCTGATTGAATTTGGAAGGTTCTGTGATTCTGAAGTAGTGGTTTGCCAAGGATATAAATGCACAAACACTATATACACATTTATACACACAGCTGTAAATATGAACACTGTATACATGCTCTAGCTGGCAGTGTCACTACATACGTTCAGAATACATACTCCAGATGTGGCTACATATGGAGCTGTAATAGAGTCTTTAGATGAAGCATCGGATTAATTGAAGCATACCCGACGTGTTTCAGTGAAGAAGGCAAGCAATTAAGTCCCCCCCCCGTGTGTTTGCATGTGTATGTGAGACATGTGCGCCTGTGTAGCTGAGTGCATGTGTGTGTAATGATATATGGTGGGTCCTTACAACACTCAGGAGACATAAATTACAGATATTACAGATTAATTTCAAACCCATTAGAGATATGGGACTGTGGAGCGGTTACAAAATTATTCCACGTTCTATACAAACACTGCTGCTATGATTCTTACTTAAAGATCTGGGAGCCTGAACAAAGATATGTAAGATACTGCAGGGTCGCAGACATGAAAATATATTCTATATCGGTATGCAGTATCATTCACAAAAAGTACTATGCACCAAAGTACAGCGCAGCAAATATAGCAAAGTCACCTGCAAAAACTGAAAATCTGCAGTTCTGACTTTGTACTCTAGTGCATGACCATTTTTTTATCCTTTGTTAACGGTGCATAGCTGGATTTAAAATGAGCAATCAAAGTCTTATTTCCAAGGCTGCGTTGGTAAGCATCTAAGTTAATGACTGTATTGACTTGAAGCAGGCCGTTGAGAAAAAAAGAGTTTAGGAAACTCCAAGTAGAGAGACTAAGAGACACACATGACTAGGCTTTAAGTGTTGAGTAATCCTGCAGCCAGAAGAACTCATCAACTCAATCTCTCATTCTAACTCTTTTCCTCTCCCTCCCTCCCTACAGTAAGTTTAATTTGAAGAGAGAGGAAAAAGTCCCTTTCCACACCGTCTCAATACATATTTTTCTAATTTCTTCCTTCAGAAATCTCTTAATGGCTTCTTCGCTGGACCCTGATGAAAACAATGACTTTTAACCTTCCTCTCCCTCCCTCCTTCCCTCCATCCATCTTTCCCCTCCCTCCATCACAGCCGACTTATTTCACTTTCTAAATGATTTCTTACTCCTTCAATCTCTTTGCAGCCATTCAGGCCCCGGCCTAGGCTTGTGGCCGGTGCTACGCATTGTGACAGGTGAAATGAAAGCCCAGAGAAATCTCATCTTCTTATAAACGCTCCGAGGCATTCAGCCAGTCAAAAAAATATTTTTTCCCCTTTCTTTCCGAGGCGCTGACAGATGGAAGAAAAAGAAAAAAAAAAAAGGGGAAAAAAAGTGAGCTGTTATTTGAAGACCATTTGGGGTTTTCCTTTATCCACAGTTAATCAATGCTGTTCTTTTTGTGGCGTTGGGAGCTGAGGCAGTACATTTTGCATACATTTACACACTAGCTACTGTAGCAGCATTTTTTTGACTACAGCGTGCATTGAAATTGTCTTCTAGAGTTGTAAATCATGTCCATCAAGTTGAACACCTAGAGAAGTCTAATTACTACTCTACTACTACTACTACTATTGAAATAGTTTTCCCTCAAAAATCGTAATTAGTTATGCAGATATTGTCAAAGGATAATTTTTGCATGTGTTATGGAGATGTCTCTACAGATTAAAAGCACTTTACTGTTATTGTCTCGCTCCATCTGCTATCTTTTCTATTTTAGCCAAACAATGTCAATGAGGAGCTCAGTGTGAAAAAAGGAATAGCAGCAGACAAACAGTGCTGTCAGGCACTGCTGATTGAAACCTCAAGGTCATAGGCAGAGAAACAGAGAGCCTGAGAGAGAGAGAGAGAAGAAGCAGGAGCAGTAGAACAGCTTAGACTCTCCAGGGTCTGGCTGCGCAGCTCACTCACTCTGCTGTTTTGTGTGTGTGTGTGTGTGAGTGAGTAAGTGAGTGAGAGGTTTTCAAGGCCTCTCCCTGTAGGCGGATTCTGCAAAGTCACCCTGCTCTCTGCCTCTTGTCAATCTCTTTCTCTATCGCTGGCTCCCTCTCCACACTCCTGTTGTCTGCCTTTCTTTTTCCAGAAGTGTAACTTCTCATCCAGCAACATGCCCCTTCCTATCTCTGCTGCACCTTTTGTTATACTGCTCCTTCCTGCTCTCATTCAGATTCTCCATCTCCCCAAATCCCCACCACTACGCTATGGCTAGATCCTTCCACAACCCTGCCTCTGACTTCTCTCCATTCTGTTCCCGCTTGAGGAAAGACAGACACCTGTTTGCCATCTTGTAATAATCTCATAATCTCTCTTGTCATGTATCCATCTGTATTTATCCATTATTCCTGTCTTTTCAATAAGTTTGTAAGTCCCTATTTTTCAACTTGGATCTCTTGGGGTTTTTTTTTGTTTTTTTTTTTACCCTGCCCTAGGATTGCCCCCAAAAAGTTGATGAACCGAATCATCAATCGTGAAGACCCAGAGTCGACTCGCATTTTGTCAGTTAAATCCCTGCACTTTTGTTTTTTAGCTGCGTCACTGTATACAGATCAATGCAGGCGCAACAGCATGGCAGGCTTTAAACTTTATAAATGGATGCTCTCTGCTCCGGTGATGACTGTCAGTGAAGTCTGCTCAATAACTTTTGAACCAGACGGTGGAACAACTTCCTCTACTGTCGTCTACTGTGACTTTTCGGCTGACAGCAGCCCAGCAAGAGCAGTAGTGCACTGGGGTTTTATAACTGTACTGTGAACAGGACGCGCACGTTCTCTGACTGTGTGAAAATCCGATGCTTTCACATCACAGATAACGAAGGCATTCAAATGTGAGGTAGGCTCAAACATGAGTCATGTGGGCTGATATAGGAGTTTAGTGTGGTGCTGAACTGAAAAGAAAGGAAAAAAAATAGAGGAATCTTCGTAACGAAAAGACAAATCCAATGTGACAAAAGTCTGAGTCGGGTACAGCCCTACTCAACCCACACACCTCGAACTTCACTCCCTCTTTTCATCCTTTCACCCGACCTCAACCTTCTCTCTGTGTTCCAGCTGCTCTTTTCTCTCCCACACACTGCAAACGCAGCTCGATTTATTCGTCCTTCTTCGTCATATTTTCCCATTGAAAACTGTGGAAAACACAGTATGTCAATACTTTTCACACCTTCTGCTCTGTGATCTCTCGTTCCCGTCCTTCATCTCACTATCCTTCCACTCATCTTCACTTCACGTCTTCATCCAGCTGTTAAGGAGTCATCTCCATCCCCACTCTCTCTTTGTCTACTCTCCTTTTCTCAGTCCATCCCTATATCCCCCTCCTCACCTTGTAATTCTCCACTCTTGCTGTAGAGTTCTCGCCTCTGCTCCCTCAAGTAGGCACTCATGCTGATGGCATGGGAAGATGATTCAAACCTACAAACACATAAAAAGGTTTGACATGACACAATACAGTAAAATACACAATGCAACACAGGAGACAAAAAATAATCATTACAATGACCAATGGCCTTGGGTCTGGCCAATGTAACCCCAAATGTAATATATACAGGATCCTTTATTCTTTTATTTTCCTTACATTTGGACAAGCACAGAGAGAAAAAGGTGTGACCCTTACTTGAAGAGCGACTGCTTGGCACGCTGTGGTTTTTTCTTCGCAAAAAAGGCAGCAAACTCACTGCCAGTGCTGGCATAGGAGAGTTGAGCCGACGGTTCCGTGGCACTGCGGCTGTTCTTCACATCCAGATACTCCATAAGCAGAACCTAAACAATACACAGAGCACTGGGTGTAAAGCTGAAAAGCAAACGAATCAAGGTGTAAAAAGTACTGTTAATTGGAGAGGGTCACGGTCTAGTAGGTCTAATGGCCAAATGTGAATGCCTGTATCACTTCATCTCTATGTTTCATGGACTGATTCAGTGTTAAAGAGTTGCCTGGGTCCAGACCTTAAAATCCGCCCACTCTACCGAGTTGACTGAAATGGAGTATAACGAGTTGACAATTCTGTCTGATATCAGGCAACTGAAACGGAGAATCCAAGATGATTTACTGGAATAGCACAAAGTCACTACTAGTTAAAAGTCCACTTACAAATGATGTGAGACAATCATAACCAACCACGAAGCATCAATCTAATCTTAGTCCCTAATTTATCCCATGCATAGGCTTCCTCTTAATATTACTACCCCCTGATAATGTACCATAATGTGACTCAAGCTTATTAATGACTTCAAAGCTTCCACCCATAATCACATCCTGTAAGCTCTGCTCTGTTCACTTATCAACTAACTGATTAATACTTTTTTTTATCCATAAGGCCTTCGTGCAGCATGTCTACCTCTACACTATAGGTAAAAACACCCACATTTACATTTATTTGCCATCATATTATGCTCCATCTCTGTGGAGCTCACTATAAAATAAAGCTGAAACCACAAGTCGCTCTTGGTAAGTTTAAGAAATTATTGTAGTGTAGAATTGCAAATACAAAGTTTCCCATCCTGTGTTTGTATAAAATGTTTGGATCATTAGCCTTATTAAAGTGCTAATAGAACCATGTTATCTGTCTTTGATTGTATCTGTACATCCCATTTTTTCTGCCACATGGGTGATACAAGCAATGATTCAATTATGTTGTACTGTTGCAAGAAAATTGAATTGACTTATTCTTCTATTTACATATCCCATTTAACATGACACTGAATTAAAAGTACCATGTTCAGCAGAGATATGTATCTATCAGATAAGCTGGACATCCCTAGCAGCAGGTTTGTATTTAGTATGACTTGTAGTAGTACAATTTACAACACACTGTCTACAAAGCCGATCCTTAAAAACAAAAGAAAAACCCAACTTGAGAGAGGAAGGCCACTGACATGCCTGGGTGCCTTAAAAATTCTTGTCTTCCATTTCCCTCATCTGTCTGCATGATCAATGGTGAAATCCATCAACGTCTTATCATGCTTCATGAAAATCTTATCAACTTCTAACAATAGCTGAGGACAATCACATTGAAACTCTGGCCAGACAGAGAAAGTTAACTTCCTCTACTCTATCATTCTATCTGCACATTCCCTCTGTTGCTTTCATTGGCTCTCATTTTTCAAAATCTCTTAGTGCTTCATCTCTCATCTCTCACATTTCTATTTTCTCTCTGTTGCTCAGTCTACCTAAGTTCATCGTCCCCTTTCTCTCTCACCCTTCTTCATTCCTCTCTCTGTGTGAATACATATGTTCTAAAATAGCCTCCCATATCTAATAGCTTCATAATTTAGCAGGGCCATTTAGCCCGTGTGTGTCTAATTCTGAGGCGCAGTGTGGGTCAGCCCAGAATGGGACAGGAGTAATGGCCAAGCAGATGGAGATCCATCCCGACCATAATGATGTAATTAACGCTGCCGAGAGCACCCCCCTCGCCATGCATGGGAAAGCCTTCACATGCTAGCATCGATGTTAATTCAAGTGCGCACACATACACGTATAGCCATGGAAAAATCACGCATAGGCAGGTTTTAAAACTCAATCATATTGATAGGCATATTGAGAGGTTTTGATAGACTACTACAAAAAACAGGTACAAATTGTAGAACAAATAACTAAAAATGTCCACTTTTGTGACTTAAAATGGTTCTGATGTAAAGCTAAATGAGTCCGGTGTCATAGTACGAGGTCACAAAGGTTCATGTAAATACCTAAGTTCAGCGTGCGCACACAATCTCCCACCACATGTGTAATTACTCTCTAACACATTTCCTCACATCACAGGCAGCGCTGGAGGCCATATCACACACGCCCTCTCCAACTGGCAACACCAGGGCCTCCACTTGCCACTAGCGTCATGCTGCAGCTAATCCTATCAGTGTATTAATTACTAATGATGAGCTGATGGAGCGAAACCCCCACTTGCTTGCAAGCTAACGCCCAAGTAGACTTAATGAAATGCCAGCACTGGGCTGATGAAGGGGCTCCGACCCTACTTAAATTGCATTAGCCCAGAGACAGAGTGAACTTTGGAGCCAATTAACTGGACTGCTCGGACAGAGAGAAAGATAGAGGAAGAGAGGGATGGAAGGCAGAAAGCAACACAGACAGAGAGAAAGGAGAAAGGAGAGATAAAGAGTTGTGGCGAATAGAAAGAGCAAAGGATTATAGGTGGAGAATGAACACTGAACAGAATGCTAAAGAGAAAAGGGGAATTGAAAGAGGGAAGGAAGAGAAAAGTAAGGAAGACAAACAAACACGAGAGACCAAGTTGGATAACCAATTGTCGCTGATTTAACACCTCTAAGTGAAGTTACAAAAGAGGGTTGTTTCCCCTCGACAGTCTCACCAATCTATCTCCAATCAGCCACAAACCATGTTACAGAGATAACTCACAAAAGTTCTTTTTTTTTTTTTGGTTAGTCACCTCAAATAACAAAGCTGCTTCAATAACAAGTGTGACATTAGTCCTAACAAATCTACTTTGTTGCAAAGCCAAACCACTGCAAATTAGTGTTTTTTTCTAGTTACAAGTGGATAGAATGAAGCACACTAAATATATCTCAATCTCACTGTGCACTGAGCCAACTAATTATTAACAATAAAAAAACAATTTCAGAAAGTGAAGACTTCATTCTTGGTTGTCAAGAAAGCATCTTAATTTAGTTTTGTTTAATAAATTGACAAGAGTATTACAATTACAGGTGCATCTTATTTAAAATATATTCCATTTAATATTAGCAAACTACAATCAACGTGGTACTATAAATATATGTGCATAGAAAGCTACAATGAATACATCCAATAAATCTAAAATAGTCTAAGGTATTTTTTGTTTCATAGAAAAGTTATCCCTCCTGTCTATAGAAGACTGTGTTAGTCTGCTAATCACAAATAAAACAATTACTCTTTTACTCTCTTATGTAGTAGATCTACTGTACTTGGTTCCATACAATGAAAAATACAATTCCCCCTTTCTTCTTTCGTCTTCCCTGTTACCTATCAGGTCAAGCATATAAATCTCATTAAATTACTATTACTCAAGCAACAAAGAGGCCTAGATCCTATTACTGTCACCTGTCTATGACCGCACAGCTCAGTCAGTGAGGCACACTTAAAAAGGGACAAAGAAATATCATAAATAAGGACAACAAGAAAAATAACAAAACAAAAACTCAGGAATTATTGGATTACAAACAAAGCAAAATGAGAAAGATCTCTGTTAGAAAGAATAAGACAGACCAAAAGATGACATTAGATGGGTTGAGAGACAGGGATATATTTAGACATATGCAAAACTTTAATTAGGAGACAATGGGGACACAAAAGGCAAAGAAACAGCAAGTGAATCAAGGAGGAAGAGGTCCCTCTGTCACAGCCAGCAGCATGACAGTTGCCAAAACAAGCAGCTGCCTCAGTGACTGCATCCAGAGCATCCCATCAATGCAAAACAGGACAGATCCACAAGTGACAAAAAATAAACAAATTCATATATTCCTACAATATTAGAGAAGCTATGGTCCCCAGCGCCCGGTTCCAAACGGGAGCTCTGATAACATTTGACGTAACTGACTCTGCTATCAGAGGATGAGAAATGGGAATTCATGGAAATGACGCAAATATAATGACCTCCTCTTAACGCCTTCCATATTGGCAGCACATAGTAACAGATGGAAACACCCCCACGTCTCTTTCCAGATTTCCTTCTTTGTTTCAACAGTTCAGAAAATCTGACATTCAAGCATCAAAGCACCTACTTAGCAACTACTTCACTGGCAGCCAAAAAAGTATCTACATTTCTTCAGTGAACTTCCACCGTAACTTCCACTAAAATGTTATACAGAGTTAATGGGAGAAACAGGAGAGAAGGAAATTAACTGTGTGAATTAAGTAAAAATCAATATTCATAGGTGTATCCGTGAAACTGTGGATGAAAAAAAGGGTGGTATTTAAAGATGCGAGACGTGGCAAATGGCTCTTCACACCAGATACTAAGACTAAGCTCAAGAGTTCACATCAACTCGAGTGTGTATGCGGGTTCAAGTGCTTGTGTGTGTGTGTGTGGGCACACATGCAAAAATCACATCTCTCTCAAGGGCTCCACTGACAAAGACAATCATTTCCACCACAACTATTCAATGTAATTCTATCAACCAAACAAGCCTGTTCCACACTTGAGTGGCTTGGGTTCTCTTCCCAAACTTAAATCAGTCCACTGGGCTGAGTGCTAAGTTCTATTAAAAAATGAGAAAAGCTTCATCGAAGTCTGCCTTTGTAAGTCATTACCAGCACTCCCATTTATTTCCTCCAAACCGAATGTCCTGATGTCACCCTTTTTGCTTGGAGAAAGTGTATACTCATCCTCCATCCTGTCCATTAGGGCTTTAACACCCAAAAAATCAGTGCAATTAAGAAAGCATCACTCAAAGCTTTGCAGGTGAGCACTTGTTACTGTATGAACTTGGCAGTCAAACGCTTAAAATTAAAGGACTGAATATCACTTCATTTTCTTTTTCCTTGTTTTCATCCTCTCCTTCTTATTAAGTCATGTTAAAAGCAGCCAAGAGTACAATCTCCACAATTTGTTCCTTTCTCACGGCTTTATTGAAATCGGCTGTTTTCCCACTAAATCCCTTGGCTGGTGTCTTGTCACAAAACATATTGACTGATATCCTTTGCTGCTAGCTTGAAGTTAAAGTCCAAAGTGTCCTTGGGCGTCAAAGAAAATGTTCTTTATACACCCTGTATTGATTGTGTTCCCCAAACTTCAATAACCTTCACA